ACAGACGGACCCATTCATACACCGAAGCCCCATCCCCAAAGTGAGCGTGTCCAGAGGAGGCAGCTTGGGAGACCATAGGGTCACAAGGGTGGATTATCATGAAAGGGATTAGTATCCTCTTAAGAAGGACCTGTCTCTCTGCCATTCGGGGACACCGCAGGAGAGCCAAGCAGACTGTGACCCGGCACCTTGCGCTCCTCAGCCTCCAGCGTCCTGAGAAGTCCGTGTCACTGAGCTTCCAGGCTGCGGTATCAGCTGCCTGAACTAGGAAACGGGGACGAATGAGGGGGAGGCCGGGGGGAGGCTGGAGATGTTCCACCAATGGTTCTGAGACACATGCCAAAGAGACACTGAGTTCCGAAAGCCCTCGGAGGGGTGTGGCAGGCAGACTCTGAAGCAAAGAGGAACCAGGGAGCCTGAGGGACTGGGTCAGCCTGACCGGGAGCAGGGCACGGCGTCAGCCACATGCCAGGTGCTGCTGGAGGACACCCCCACACCAGCTGCACTAGTCCTGTTGACACAGGCACCCCCAGGGTCACCAGTGCCCAGCCACACTTTATAAAAAGGGTTCGATTTAATAGAGGAATCAGGCCCAACCTGCCGTCCTCCCACCCAGAGAAACCCAGGATTCTCAGAAGGAAAACAGAATGAGCCTGCTAACGGAACCCACCTTGGAAAGCAACACCGTGGTGACTGCTGTGGCCTCTATCCACGTGGCCTGCCCCCAAGGGCTCAAGTGCTGGACGCACCTGGTCCTCGCATGACAAGGTTGAGGTGCTGGACCATTAAGAAGCTGGCGGAGCACAGGGCGGTTACACGTGGGGACAACCTCTGGGAAGGGATGAATGCTGGTCTCTCAGAGTGAGTTGTCACGAGGACACACTTGACCCCTTGCAACAGGGCCAGTTCCCTGTCCTTTCCACCAGGTTGTGAGGCAGCTGGGGGCAATGCCACGCTCTTAGGACCCTCCAGCCATCAGTATCATGAATTAGATAAACCTTCCCATTTTAAAAAGCACCCATTCTCAGATATTTTGTTATAGCAACAGAAAATGGATTAAGATGCCTCGCCCCACCCACTACCCTCCACATCAGTTCCATCTGCAAGAACTCTAATAAACCTGTGCACCCTCCTCGGGGACTTTCAGTTCAGGAGAGCGCCTGTGGTGGCCCCGCGGAGTCCACACAGCTCTGACTGCTCCATGTCACAGTAAACAGAAACCCGTTCCACTCTGGGGCCCTAGTGACCATGAGATCAAAGAGTCCTTCCACTGCGCAGCCCTGTACAAATCTGAAATCTCCACCACCCAGAGTCCCAGCAGACCCCAGGTGTGTGGCAGCTCTTTGATGAGCCGGGACACAGCTGCGCACAGAGGTCAAGCTCCCTCAGGACCAGGGAAGTCCTGGGCCGCCTTCACCACGCACCCAGCTGTGGACAAAGTGGCAGAAATCTCCAGCTGTTGTCAAGACAACCAAAGTACAAACAGAAATCTCCTTGGGATTCTGTCCGGAAGCAGTCTTTAAGTGCACACGCAGACACCCCCAGAGGAAATTATAAAACAGAGATGCGCCTCCGCCCCTTCCTCCCGCGGCGGCCACGTGGCAATGTGTGTCAGGAACGCCACTGGGAAGCTTTCCACCTCTGCTGCCTTGGGATTGCTTTTTGGCTTGGGCTTGTGTGTGTGTGTGTGTGTGTGTGTGTGTGCGCGCGCGCGCGCTTTGCAGTGTTCATGAGTGCTGACTTCCACGGTGGGATGGTTGGCACTTTATGGGCAGGGCTGAGACTCTGGGGGTCCTGGGCATCTGCTGACCCAGCCTGGTGTGCTTCCCTGGGTCAAAGGCACCCGCAGCAGGTCTGCAGGCAGCCTGGCTGCCCGAGGAAAGAGCCTTCACACAGGCCTGCCTGGCCACCCCACGCGGGGTCCACAGAAGAGTCCACATGCGGGACACTCAAGCCAAGAGTGGATAACAGGTAACGTAGGTGAGCCCAGTGCCCCTGAGTCCTGGGCTTTCAGCGAGCACAAGGCATTCAGAGAATGTTCCAGGCCATTATTCAGCCCACCTGAGAGCACTCCCCAAGAGACAAGAGCAGACACACCTAACAGGCCAAGAAAATGGCATCGGCAGGACCCCGAACAACACTGCTACAGGTCAGGGAGGCCACGCCTGCCACCTGCTGCCAGGGACCCGACCCTCACATCAATAGAAGGGACCTCTGACCCCAGGAGGGAGCCCGTGACTACAGCCAGGAGTCACCAGCAGGGAGCAGAGGTAAAGTTTGCCCTGGCCGCGTGCACAACCCTGAGCCAGCACAGAGACGGGTCCCTCAGCCCCTCCAGTGACACAGCAGGCCTTCAGCATGAGGGCCACATTCTCTGTCACATTCGGTGGGGATGCCAGAGTCTTGATCAGACTGAGACAGCAGGCACGCTGAGAAAACAGGAAGTCAGGCAGGCCTCAGTCCAGAAAGCACGGGTCCCTACCCAGAGAGAGAGCAGCTGCGGGTCTCTCTCTGAAGGGCCTCCGGACTGAGCACTGGCTCGCTCCTCCAGACACTGACCCCCAGGTCACCACAGTACAACTGGGCATTAGAAGGACTCTGACCTCCCACAAGCCCTGTCACCCAGAGAACCAGCCTGCTCAGATGAGCAGCTAGAACAGCCTGCTGCAAACACCTGGCCCAGGAAGGGACCAAGCAGGGGACGAAGCAAACACTGCTCGGTGTGGAAAACGTAAGGCCACCCTGAAAAACAGGAGGCCATGAGGTGATATGACTGATGTTTCAAAGCTGCCACCTGCACAGAAAGCTCTTCTCCGCTTCAGCACCATTCTCCCCACTTCCAAGGTGAAATGCCGATCAGCAGAGCCATCAAAAGGAACCAGCAGTCAGAGGGGAGCCAAGGGGAGGCACCGTCTCCAGGAGCCACTGAAAACACGTGCTGCTTCCTGCCTTTCTGTTTATGCATTAGAACCAGAGACTGAACCCAGGGAGGCTCTGCCACTGAGCTACATCACCAGCTTTTTTCATTTTTTATTTTGAGACAGGATCTCACTAAGTTGCTGAGATTGGCCTCCAACTTTCAATCCTCCTGCCTCAGCCTCCCAAGTCACTAGGATTACAGGTGTGTGCCACAGTGCCCAGCCAGAGTGTGCTTCATTCTTGGAGATAAAGAAAAAATGAAGTTAAACTTATCTCTAAGTTTTGCTGTCACCCTGTAATCACAGACTGACAGGAAGTGACCATGTATCTTAAGTGTTCATCTGGTACAATGCTCTGCCTTAACGGGGAAGATGTTATTATGTGCATTTACAGATGAGGCAACTGTATTAGTCATCCAAAGCAGCATAGCCAGTTGGTTGGGAAAGAGCCCAGGTGCAGGCTCTTGCCACGGAACACTGTCCTTGTACATGGATATAAAGATTCTTGCCTAAATAGTGAAACTGAGAAGGAGGGGGCAGGCTTGGGGCAGGGGCCTGTGCCACCTACATAGACAACAAGGGAGACAGAGACAGTGTCCCAAAACAAGGCAAAGATATTTCCTCCCAAGCCCAACTGACACATGCGACTCACCGTGCCTCTGTAGGCAGGCTTTCCTGCTAAGTCTTTGGAGCCCTGGGGCTGAATGGCTTCTAGTTCCTGGCATTTAGGTCTGGATTGTGGCAGACAGCCTGGCACACACAAAACCCACCCTGCCACACCCACAGTTCAGCAGGGGACCCAGAACAGCCTCCCAGCCAGATCCCCGCGGCTGCCAAGTCCAGGCACTGGGAGAGCCGAGCAGGGCACATCGGGGACTCACAGGGCAGGCGGCCTCTGCCAGTTCCCCTGGAATTACCATCCAGTCGGCATAATTAAGGATTTTGGCCTAGGACAGTGGTAGGGCCAGTCGAGATCGCCTGAGCCAGAGGATCCAGAGGCCCGGCACAGGCACACGGTGGTCTGGCACAACCCATCCCGACTGCCATGTTTCCTCTTGTGCACCTCCGTCCTGACAGCCCAGTTAGCATTTCTGAGACAAACTGGAAGGGGTCTACCCTTTGGCTGCTCCTTTACTTAGGAAACGGTCTTCTTAGGAGAACAAAATCAGCTGGACTTAGAGGACCAAGCCTGGGTGCCAAAGGCCACTGAAGACACAGTTTAGGGCCTCATCTGCTTTTGGAAGGATTCTGGAATTTGACGCGGATACCAGGAAATGACTGTAAACATTATCCGAGTCCCCAGGGGACGGGGGTCCCTGTGTCACTGGACAGGTCCTCCAGTTCGCATGGTGGCTGTGGGTTCCAGGCTGTTTCTTCAGGCTGAGAAACACCCAGTTTGGGTAGGGAAGTGGTGACGGGGGAGGGCGCTCTCGGTCCCCGCTCATTCTCACCCGCCGCACGGACGCTCGCGGGGCGCACTGCTCCACAGTACTTTCTTTCTTCGCCTTCCAGCCCGGCCATGCCCGGCCATGCCCTCGGTTTTCTCGCCCTGGCTTGGACTTTTTTTTTTTTTTAAAGTGAATAAACCCATCGCTCCCGGGAGGCGAAAGAAACCCGCGGCCTCCCGAGGAGCTTCGACACTCCGGAAATCATCCAAAGCCGCCGTTCCTGTCCCGCGCCCTGTCCCCGCCCCGCCCCGCCCACCCCGCAGCCCAGCGAGGCCGGAGGGGACCCCGGGACGCGCGGGCGCGGGTGGGACGGCGGGTGGGCGGGCGCGGGAAGCCTGGGCCGGGGGACGCGGGGACCCCGGGGCTCGGCGAGCGGCGGCCCGAGGGGTCGCCGATCAGGGTGGGCCGGGGAGCAGGCGCGGGGTGGCCGAGGGCGGGGACAGGGCGCGGACTCACCCCGAGAAGGCACACCTTGAGCTCCCGGATGGCCATCATGTGCGGGCCGGGCCGGGCCGGGGCTCTGCAGCATCCCCCGGGCCGGGCCGCCGCGCCCAGCCGTGTCCAGCCGCGTCCAGCTGCGTCCAGCCGCCGCGGCCCGCGCTCGCGCCAACCCGCGGGCGGAACCGCCGCTGCTATTTCTGGGCCGCCGCGGCGGGTCACGTGGCCCGGCCGGCTCCTCCCGGCGCCGGGTCCAGCCCCGGCCGCCCACTCCCTGCGACGCCCGGCGTCAGCCTCGCCCGCGGCCCGGCCTGGGGACCCTGGAGACCCTGGCGCCCCTCCGGCCCTCGGAGCTGCCCAGCCGCGGGCGGGTAGACGGACCACAGGCGGGACCGCGACGCCCCGCACCGCAGTCGGGCTTGGAGCCCACGCGCAGGCCACCAGGAAGGACCCTGGGCTCCGCAGAAGCCAGGCCACTGAGAACAGGGACGGCCGCGAAGACGGGGTGAGGACGGAAGGGGCCACCGCGAGGCAGCCTCCACTCAGCCCCCTTCACTGTCTGCGCGCGGGCCGAGGACGATTCTGGAAGCAGTGGCCTGTCTCTCCTTCCAAACCCAAACCGGTGCCGCTGGAGAGGAAGCCCCCTTTCTGGGACAGAGGACCCTGCAGAGGACAGGGGAGCTCCCTGCCCTCCAGCCGTCCTCGCTGGGAAGTGGAGGCCGCTCCGCGCTCCGCAGACCAGTGCCTTCCCTGCCCGCCAGGGGAATGTCCAGCCCCGGCTCAGGCAGTGCACTGGCATTGCGGGCTGAACATGTGTGTGTTTGCTTTTAAACCCGATGTTAACAGTTCGTCCCCCATCCCAAACCCTGGGCCTCTCTGCTGACCTTCGATGGATGGCATGCGTGCTTTCTCAGCAGACCACCCACCTGGTCTCTTTGGCTTTGCTCCTGTGAAAGCCAGGCCCAAGCTACCTCACACCCGAGTAGCCCCACAAGGTGGGGACTTCCAAAGCAAGCCCTCCAGGGAGAACAGTTCCAGAACACTGGACCAAGACGGACCCCAGACAGACAATGGCAAGTGATTTCCCAGAGCCACAGCTTCCTTCCCCTGAAGTGCAGGCTTGTGGAAGGTGACTTATTGGGACTAAATGTTCCAAAAGTAGCCACAGACAAGTTACAGGTCCCATTCAACACCCCCCTTATATCGCTCTCCACCCCTGATTCAGTAGCCAAAGCACAGACAATCTTTTATGTGGGCAGGGTGGAAAGAGAGGCCAGCCCAGAACTACCCAGCCCTGGGCACAATGCCTCACTGTCCTGCCTTGGGGGGGGCGGGGGGGCAGGGAGCAGCTGCTACACACTTGCCAGACACCTGCCAAGGGCTTCCTAGGCCTCACTGGCACCCACGCAGTCCTGCCTGCCAGCCGGCCTTCAACCTCATATAGAAAGTGTCCTGCTGACTTTTCTGCCAACTTCCCAAAGCCAGGCCAGCCGGGGTGGGAGTAGTTTCCATCAGAAGATGTGGAGCCAGTGGGGATCTGTGTCATTCAGTTGCAGAGGGTACGGCCACCCCAGATGGAGTGAGCAGGAAATCTTACTGCTTCCTCATCCTTGGCTGCTCTCATTCTGCCGGCCCCCCAATCACCTAGGTGTCTGAGTGGTGCACAGTTTGTAGACTGTACTGGGATGTTCTCCTATATAGACCGATATGATCACTTCCCTCTCCCGGTCCCACTGAGAATCACTCCCTTGGTGCCTGGGTATGATCAAGCCTTTCTCTCTGCTTTACTAAGGGCTGTCTACTCTGTCAACCAGACCATGCTCATGGGTTTATATCCCCTCAGCCAGGCCACCCTGGAGACTGCAGCATGGCTCCACAGAAACCAGGTCCTGGGATCAGCCCCTGGTCATGCACGATGCTCTGCACCAAGGGGAGGATGAGGACTGTGGGAGATGTGTTTTAGGAGTGACAGGTCCTGGTGGCTTGGGACTTTGTAAAGTCAAAATGTTCTCTATTATTATTCTCTATGTTTACTGTACAAGGGCTGATTGTATTTGTCAGATTTTTATTACTATTAGCAGAATATTTAAGGCAGGCTAACTTTATAAGAGAAGAGGTTTATTTAGCTAACAGTTTTGGAGGCTGAAAGCCCAAACTGCTGGGTGCAGGCTCTGGTCAGCCCTGGAGAGGACTTCATGGTGAGTGCTCATGTAGGAAGGAGGAAGAGATCTCGGTAGAGAAGCCAGGAAGCATTTCAGGGGTCAGGACTCTTGAGCTCAGGTGCTGAGAATCACCTAGTCTCTTTGGAGGACACACCCCCAATGACCTAGGGACCTCCCATTGTGCCCCACCTCTTAAAAGGTCCACCATGTCTCTATACTACCACACTAAGGACCACATGAACGTCTGGGGGACACACTCAAGCCACATCCAAACCACAATATCCAGCCTATCCTCTGGAATTTTCTGCAAATATGAAGAGATTCTGACATAACTTAAGCAGGAATAAAAATCCAGTGGTACATAACTGACAATTTACCAAATCAAAAATAAAACATGCAAATTTTTCTTACAAACACCAATTCCGACTTCCACTTTTTGCAGTTTCATCATCTCCCAAGACGCTGTACCACCTACAGGATGACACCCAAGCTCCTCAGCCTCTCCAAACTAGCCTCTCCATGCACCTGGTGAAGCCTGTGGTTCTTCAAGCCCCGCTCAGATTTCACCTCCTGATAAAGTCCTCCCAGGCCCCGTATCCACTCTTATAACTCACTCAGCCTGAACTCAAATAAAGTAATTAGCAACAAATCAGGGCTAACATACCCACAAATGTAGTGATCTGTCTATATAAGGAGTTAACCAAGAGTCATCTCTCTGAATTGACAAGGTCTAAAATGACTAGAAATTTGTTTTAAATGACTAGAAATGAACCCTTTTCCCTTCTGTCTGCAACTCACATAGGATTTTTTTCTTTTTTCTTTTTTTGTACTAGGGATTTAACCTAGGGGCTATATCCTCAGCTCTTTTTTTTTTTTTTTTTGAGACAGAGTCTGACTAAGCTGCTTAGGGCCTCACTCAGTTGCTGAGACTGTCCTCAAATTTGCGATCCTCCTGTCTCAGCCTCTCACCCAGGACTTGTTAGACAGGATCTTCAGCCATTTCATGCTGTTCCAACAAGACGATGCTCTGTGGACCTCTAGTGTCTGGGGGACCTTTGAGTCATCTTCACATCTGGGCTGCCCACATGATAGCATCGTTGAGGCTGGAGAACTCCCCACCCTTAGAAGATGCTTCAATATCGGAAGAATCTGTATGGGAGTTTCTTCCAACAGAAAAGAGTAATTCATCAACAAGTGCTTAGTGTAACTCCCGTGGAGAAACTTACTCTGGTTCTTTCTTTAAAAACTGACAAAAGACAGTAACAGTCATAAAACTGATCATGCTATTTTGATTCAAGAAATTATTTGGGGGACCATAGCAATGACAAAAGCCTGACTGTGCACATATACATACACATAAAAACATCAGAACAACAAAAAGTCACCTGTATGGGGCAAAGGGAGTGTAATCGCATTGACTTTAAGATTAAAGGGGTGGCAGACACTCAGATCTCTCACCATGGCGGAGCCACTCAGCAGGCCCAGGTGGTTGCGGGGAATGTTTAATGGCATCCACAGAACATGCTCAGGAGCCAGTGGGAATGTGTGTGCTCTGTAGACCCCAGGGAAGTCTGTAGCCAATAGGTTCTGAGAAAGTGATAGGGACACAAAGTGGGTCCTGCGTGTGAAACAGCACGAGCAATACAGATAGGTCTTGGTTCCCTGGGGCACAGGACAGTCCCTGTCTGCCAGGGGTGAGCGTCTGGTCTGCTCAAGGGCTGATTAAGGAAAAAACATGAATTGGATGAGAAACTTTATTTTCAGGTCTTTCGCATGGAATTGTTGTTCCTCAGTGTCAGATACTAATGCCTGTCCCTGCTCTCTCTGGCTCACTCCCACCCTCCTGCCTTCCCTCCTTCTTTTCCTTTCCTGCCTCTTCAGCTCAGAAACTTTCTAACCAGCAGGTGCTACCTAATCTTATTTGTGACTCAAGCTCTCTCAACAAACCTTGAGGAGCTGGATCCCGTCCAGGGTCAAAGCACAGGCTGGTGTGCAGCCCAGTGGTACAGTGCGTGCCCAGCACGCCCACGCCCTGGCTTCCATCCCTGGCACCGAAAATAGATAAATAAGGAAAAGAAAGGCCAAGGTGCGCAAACCCCCAGTTTTCCCACAGTCTTGGGACAGGAGAGAGAGCTGGGCAGCCGGGGGACTGTGGAGCCTCCACCTGTGGCAGAGGAGTGTCCCAGGGAACCCCAGGCAGAGGAGGGCTGGGAGGTAGGAGGATGCCACATGGGCTCAGTTCTAGGACACGTGGGCCATCCCCATGCAAGACAAGGAGACCTGGCTGTGTCTCACAGAGAATCGGTGCCAGGTGCTAGTGCGAACTTTTCCTGCTGCACCTTCCTGGGGTTTGTGTCTTAGGCCATCGATGACCTATCCTGCGCAATGACCTACCACTGCACAGCCTGTGCCAGCCTCCTCCAAGGGGCCTCCGCAGACACCTCTGCACGCCGCCTCGCTGTCTTCAAATCCCTGATTAAACTGAAAGCATTGGGTTAAGAAAAATAAAATAAGAAATCTGAATTAGCACTGCCCATGGAAGGGGGGATGGGTTGATTCAGTCTTGACCGCTTCCCAAAAGCAGTGGTCACACACAACCAGCTGGTCCTGACACCCCGGCAGGTTCCTGTGCGCTCTACCAGAAGAATAAGGTAAAGGCACAAGTGGGGCGGACAAGACTCAGCTGGGATCCTCACATGTATGAGACCACCCAGGGACAGGAGCCCCAGGCCCCCTCAGATAGGACCAGGGTGCACAGCTCATAGATCTGTGCCATGGGGTGGGGGACTGTCTCCACGCCATTGCAGGGAGAGTTGGGGTTTGAGTTGGCCACACTCTTCCTCACGCCCCTCATCGTGATGCTTGGCTCACCATCAACCTGAGTGTCTCATGGTGAGCTTTCTACTATGCTGATAAAGAGAACTTAGGTTATTTGGGTGGCTATCCTGGCCACGCACTGGCCTCTCACCAGCTGGATATGCCCCCTATCATCTGGGAGAGTCCCTGACATGATTCTCAGAACAGGGAGGACAATTGTCCAGTCTCCGTGACCTTATCTTCCTGGCCCAGCTTCTTAGTGTCTCTGCTGACCACACGGTCTTTGAAGGCCGCGCTGACTTTCCAACCTCTGTCTCTAGGTATGTTATCTCAATTCGGTAGCCTTGAAGGCTGGCCCACTTTTGAACTCCTAAATTTCTGGAATGTCTGTTAACACACCCCCTCATAAGACTGAAAGCTAGCCAGATGGGTGGCTCACACCCATCGTGGGAATCTGAGGGAGGAGGACAGCAAGTTCAAGGCCAGCCTGGGCAACTTAGCAAGACCTTGTTTCAAAAAAATAAATAAATAAGATAATGGCTGGGAATGTAGCTCAGTGGTAGAGCACCCCTGGGTTACATTCCCAGCCATTATCTTATTTAGTCGTGGAACTTTTGCAATTTATCAGAGTAATACTATGGAGGATTTGTTTTCTTGAGAGGTCATATTTCATATTTGTCATGCTTTAGCATTATTTAGCATCAAACTTAAAGCTAACTTAATTTTCTCACTGGCAACAGATGTCTGTGAGGAACCTCTGCTCTTCATGGTCCCGCTACTATTCAGCAAAGAGCAGGTGCCAACTGTGCTAGACACTGGCACAGAACCAGGTGAGAAAGAGGACACCGCTGGCCTGCAGCCCACAGAGGAAGCGCAGACAGTCAGGCAGTTATACCGTGCAGCCAGACGTCAGAGTCTCCATGTCCTTGCTTCATTTTTGTTACTCTTCATTAAGGAAGTGAGTGTAGCTTCCAGAATCCAAGAAACGTGAATGCAATCAAAACCAGCCCCACATGGAGAACAAGCCTTCAGGATGACAAGTGGCCAGAGACAGAGCCTCTCTGACACACGCTGGAGGGGCAGTGAGAATGTGTGTGTGTGTGTTTGTGTGTATAGAAGCATTGCATAAGAGTGGGCAATAGTGTGAGCGTGCAAAAGTGTGGGGGTATATGTGTGAGAGTGCATGTGCATCTGTGTAAGAGTGTACGAGTGTGTGAGAGAGCGTGCCTGCATATGCAAACTCTGCCTGAATTCCCAAGGCCTCCCAGGCTAGCAAGCGCCTCATGCGAAGGCTCCTGAATGTGAAGTGCCTTTTACAATCTCGAACTACTGTGCTGCACCAAGAATCTCCAAGTGACAAGTATTTAATGGTTAATCAAGTTCCCCTAAGGCTCCAGCTACCTTGGAACTCTTGAGAAAAGTTTGTTCCTATCATTGTGGTTATTATTGTTAAAAACAAGATGTTAACAAATTTGGTTTAAGGATATAATTGACTTTTATTAGGGATTCACAAATCAGGCGGTATCCCATCTGTGTTAGTCACGGGGACCAAAACACCTGACAAGAACAACTTGGGGAGGAACAAGTTTATTTTGGCTCATGCTTTTGAGGCCTCAGCTCATGGTGGACAGACTCCCTTGCTCCGGGCCTGAAATAAGGCAGAAGATGGTGGCTGAAGGGTATGGAGGGGGAAAGCTACTCAGCCCATGGCATCCAGGAAGGAGAGAGGGAGAGACATGGGAGCCAGGAGCAGGGACAAAAACGTAATCCCCAAGGGCACACCCCAGTGACCACTCCCTGGTGCCTGCCCCACCTACACACAGTTATGCTGGTTGCAAGGTGGCTATCTGAGCTGAACGGTTGTGATTGGCCAAGACTCAGCTACTCGGGTGAGGCAGGCTGAAGTTTGGCTGCACTGTGTGGAGAAACCTGCAGGACACTGTTTGCAGACGGCTCCAAGTAGGCCTGGGGGCTCCCTTGGTTCTACTTGCAGCGTGTTCAAAAGTGGGATGCTGACAATGTGGAGGGGCCCTGGCTCTAGTTCTCTGAGTGGAGGGCAGGGAGATGCACATTTATATCCAGAAATCACAAGAAGAGCTGATGGGGCCATTAACACCTGCTTCACGGAGGAAACGTCAGACACAAACTTTAAACCATAGTCTGGGAGAATAGTTGGCATAAATATGACTCAGTTCATGATCTTATTCAGGAAAACCTAATAGAAATTATCTTTATAAAACCACTAAGATCCATTGGGAAAAAACAAACAGACCACAATAGGCCATTCACAAGCAGGACTTGCACACATGAAGGACGTGTGCAATTCCACACCCAAGCAAAAACAGGAAGCATCAAGTCAGGGCTTTCCACTCATAAAGGGGCCAAGCCATGAAACCTAAAGCTCCAGGCGAAGGGGACCGGGAGGGGAGTACGGGTCCCCCACTCACAGGGTCACCTGGCCGGTCAGAGCCACACTTTCTCTCTCTACTGAATATCCTCACAGCCTTGCTCTGCCATGTGGCTGCCTTCACACGTCTTTTCTCTAATATGATCTTTATTTTATTTTTTTCCTCCTTGAGCAAATTTATACTCATCTTTACAAGTTTAATTCTAGGGGTTCGGAGGGATAAAGACTCTGAAAGCTCTCAGCTTCCCTGTAGAGGAAAAGAAGGGGAAGGAAGGACAACTGGGGACCCTTCTCCTGGAGATGAACATCTGGGAGGAAGAACTCCTGGCCACACTAGGAGCTGCACACACTGAGCCCCAATGGTGGCCACACCAGGAGCTGCACACACTGAGCTCCAGTGGTAGCCACACTAGGAGCTGCACACGCTGAGCCCCAATGGTGGCCACA